ACCCATGTCCATCAGTGAGATGCCTGTCACTGGAGTGGGCTGGACAAGGAGAAAAAGAGGCCACCTCTGTTCCCATGTAGGTTCAGCACTGCCATATAGAGATGCAGGCTGAGAAATGGGATTTCAGGAACGTCAGTAGTAGTCAAGTTGGTAGGGACATGGAGAGGGGACAAGAGGGCAGGCACACACCCACCCTCCTCCCTGCATCAGTGGCTGGGGCTGCTGCCAACACACCACTGGTGCCTTTTCCCTATGTTTACTGAAAAGAAGCAAATGGAAGGACAACTGCCATGGACTTTTCTTTCTTGCCAACATTTGTTGTCTTTCGTTTAGGGTTAAACCTGACAGTTCAAATTACCAGTGTGGACCTGCTCCACATGCAAAGATGAAAATAAAACCTGTACCAAAACATGCAGCTAACACTGTGCAGCTCCATTTCCCCACCCAATAGGAAGTGTTTTCAGGGTTAGTTGGCCTCCAGAGCAGTGTTAGGTGGCCCACGTTTGAACCCCCCACATACCCCACACTGTTCACAGGTTCTGGTACAAGCTCATGTGCAAAGGCAGTAGCATGTCCTAGGAGGACTACTAAAATGAACAGTCTGAATGTGAAGGCAGCAGCTGGCCTGCAGGCTACCTGTTGGTCTTCATTATGTATTCAGAAAGCCTATATGTGGTGTCTTTGTAGCAGAAAAGTGATCATCTTTACTGTTGTTTCACATACAGAAATGCAAACGCAGAGGGTGAAAGCTTAGTCAGTGTAGGGGGTTGGAAGTAGGTGATATTAAGGTCCTTTCCAACCCTAACTATTCTATGATTCTATGATTCTGTGTGTTCATGTCCACAGAGGAATTGCTGGAAAAGCCAAGAAGCAGCTCAGTGCTCCCCTGCATGCAGCACCACTTCTAGAAAATGTCCACAGCTGATGGTAACTGCTTCTGAGAGCAGGACTTGGCTGAGCAGCTCTGCCCTGTCTTGCCTTCAAGTTAGATTTGGATTAGCATGGTGTGCCAAAAGAAATTGTTGTCTTTGAAGTTGTTCTTTCAAAGGAACATGAAGCAGATCTGTTTTACATAAAGAGGTCTAGCTAAATACAACAATTTGGGTGTCTGTCTACTTAGCTCCTTTCAACCGTGACAGAAAAGTCCTCAACTGGTAGCTGCTGAGAGCCCAAGAGAAGACAAAAGGAGAAGAGGAAGGGTAGATGCCCCAGGATGGAACTTCCTACTACCCATGCTGACATGACTCCTGGTTATATTTGGGTCTGGCCAGCGTAGTGCTGCCTCCTCCCTCTGCCAGATCTGTATACAGTCACTGTATCTGCTCCCTTGCAGTTCAGGTGAGCAGCCATCCCCTGCGCCCCATCTCACCCTCTGGGACCTTTGATGTTTGGAAGGGAAGCATCTGCAGTGCATTAGCATCGCCATGCCCTGATTCACAAGTAAATCACAAGTCATCAAACCCCCACTGGTTTCAGAGAAGAGTGGCTGCTTCATCTTTCCAGCGCTGGTGTGCAGGAAGACACCTGTGCTCTTAAACTGGATTGGGGAGGCAACCAGGAAGGAAGGAAGGAAAGAAGGAAGAGGAAATAGCTGCCTTTGCAGGCACCAGCTGTGGGCTGACTTTGACTTACATTCACTTCAAGGTATTTTTAATTGCATGTGCATTCCTGGGCCAGGGGTGTTCATAAAATGGGATTTTAGTAAGTATAAAGAACAAACCTAAATGGTTGCTGCTTTCATAACCCCCTGAGTGGTTGAGATTCTTCAGAGCCCAGACCCTTGTGCTGTGTCAACTCCATCACAGCTGGTTGCGTGCATCCTCAACCCTCCAAACCCACAACTGAAGTCATCACTGATGCTCTTCTGCGAGTGCTGCTATTTTCCCAGAGAGAAGGTGGTCCAGGTTCATGGCTCTGTGTTTATGTTTGTTATGCATACACTTTACATGGTGTTAACACCCTGGATTTACCGTGTAAATCAATGAGCAAAGGTTGAGCCAAGAGCTTTGCTTGGATCGAGCACCACTTCAGGTTTGATGTGAGCCTACTTCCCCCATTGCTTTTAAGCTTATCAGAAAATCTCTGGGCTTTCTCCTGCTGCAATTCTTTTAAATGTTGGCAGTATTTTGGAGTTTCAGCTGTGCAAAAACCATGCCCCAGGATGGAGCTGCTGGGAGGAGGTCACGCAGTGTGTGGAGCGAGTAAAGGAAATTCTAAAGCAGTATATCCAAGGGCTAATTAAACAGGACCCTGGCTGTTAATAAGCTTGCTGTCAAAACAGCAGTAAATGTTATTTGTACTTTTATGAAGAAGTAATTCACATCACCTGTATAATTGTCTCATTATAAATGATTATTTATCACCTGTTTACATAGCAATATCTTTTTCTTAAGAAGACAGTCTGCCTTTGAGCAAACAGATAAAGATGCTTTGTTTGAATAATCGTAAATCACCCTTCCACCATCCTTCTTTCTCCTATTACAGAGATTCTAACTCACTCTTCTTTGTTATTAATAGATGTTTGCTGGCTACTCTCAATGCCACAGAAATCATAAAGACATAAAATGCACTGTAAATTACAAAGTCTTTCCCTAGGCCATAAATGGACAATAATCTATTTGTGGTAACATCTGCATAAAGTGGCTTCCAGGAGATTTTTTTACAGATGCCTCATAATATTTACACATTGAGTGCAGACGAGTATTAAACAGATCTCACTTCAGCAGCAGGAGCACATCAAGCTCTTAGCACCAGCTGAATCCTACTGCAGGGCAACGATCATGATGGAAGAAGTGGCACAGAGCTTCACTGAACAGGGACGGTGCTGAGAGCTAGGGAGCTCAAGCCTTCATGCCACCAAATGAAACAACTGGCCAAGAGCTCATATCTCCTCATTCTCAGCCCTGCCTGCAGAGTTTGTGGATGGGATAAGGAGAAGCCTGTGGTGGAGTAGGCAAATGATGGGAAAGCTTTGGCACCTAGCATATGCACCTTACTGGGGCTTGGAGAGGAACAGCAAGAGCCACGGCCATACACATGACAAGGTGTTTGGCAGGTCTACATAAACCTGTTCAAAGCAACCCATGGAATACACCATGCATGCAGAGCAACAGCTGTGCCGGGGAACATGGCTGGGGCTTGCAGGGATGCTGTGAGGTCCCTGGCATTGGCCAGAGGGACTCTTTGTCAAGTAGGACTGCTAGTGCGCTCTTTGGAGACTGGGACCCAGCACCTCTTTGCCACTGGAAGCAGTCAGCCACACAGAGCAGTAACTCTCCTCTCTCCTCGTGCATGTGCAAGGGGCTCTACAGCTTCAGAGCAGTGAGGAAGGCAGGGCATGGCGCAAAATCTAAGATGTCCTTTAATTTCTTCTTTTCTGACCACAACATTTAGACAAATTATATATATAGCATATATATTTGTTGCCCCAAAGTACCATGAGCTCAGCCAGACATAGAATCATTTAGGTTGGAAAAGACTTTTAAGATCATCAAGTCCAGCTGTTAACTTAGCATTGCTAAGTCCACTACTAAACCATGTGCCATATGTACACATCTTTTAAATACCTCCAGGGGTGGTGACTCCACTTCCCTGGGTAGCCCGTTCCAATGCTTAACAACCCTTATGGTAAAGAAAATTTTCCTAATACCCAATCTAAACCTCCTCTGGTACAACATAAAGCCATTTTCTTCTGTCCTGCTGCTTGTCACGTGGGAGAAGACACTGACACCCACCTCGCTACAGCCTCCTTGCAGGCACTTATAGAGACAGATAAGGTCTCCCATGAGCCTCCTTTTCTCCAGGCTAAACAACCCCACTTTCTTTAACTTTCCTCATAAGACTTACTCTCTAAAACAAATGAACTTTAGGTCCTTGCTAATAAGAGTTTCTGAGAGGAAGACACCAAGCCTTACCAACCAAGTGTGCACCTAGGCACTGTTTCATCTTCCCTGTACATTGCTAACTGTGCTGCTCTAGCCACCACCCAGCATCCACTGGACCCAGTATGACAGCTGCAAAGGCTTCCTGTGCCCCTTTCATGGTGGCTGCTTGTAGCAGATCATCCCAAATAACTATGCTGCCTTAACAAAGATCAGCCCATCTACAACAGATGTTACCTGTTTCCCTGATGTTCAAACATTACACCAGGCTCAGGCCACATGATTTCTGTCCCAGCAACTCTTCTGTGGACCAGCTTTGGCTGCCAGCAAGGAGCGAGAGGTACCCCCAAGCACCACTGCACAGTGACTGCTTGTGAAGGACGGAGGAATCTGATTAACAGCCATGGGCTGAACTGTGCAGTCACTGGGCCTGAACCTGCCTATCTCCCTCTGGAGAGGAGAATGGCACAGGAAGGTGACACACACCCGTCCTTGTGCCTTGCACAATGTGTGGTGGGCACAGGATTCACCAGCCCAGTGCTTACGGAGTCCCCAGAGAGCGGTGGGGTCCAATTCCTCTTGGCAAGAGCAAAATGTAGCTCTCTGGCATGTGGTTTGTGCTCTCCCATGGGGAAAGCAAGGCTCTGGCTCCCGCAGTGGTAACAAGAGGAAAAATTTGCTGATTTGTTCCTCCAGCGCTCTTTATGAAGGCCTGAAATCAGACACTTCTAATCAAATGCAGAGAATTTTGTTCCTGCTCTTGTTCCCCTGCCACCAAAAGAAAAAGAAATGGGAAAGATAAGCTTTGGGACCACACTGCATATTCCTTTAGGGATTTTTAACAATTTTGTCCACTGACATAGATCCGTTCTTCCTATAGGCTCTATGTGCCCCTGAAGGCTATGCATCAGCACCCCCCATCACCTGGATAACGAGATCAAGCGTTTCAGTTAATCAAATTGACAGAAATGGGCACATTCGGACACAAAGAGAGAAGGCTTTGTGTGTGGATGCATTACCAAACCTCTCTGCTCCTCCACTGTAGTGCAACCCATCGCTCCAGCTGTATTTCTGTACCTCATGTCCCCACTCCCCCTGCCCTTCCTCTGAGCCTCTCACCATTTTTTCCCTGGGTTTCTTTCCTCCTCCCTGGGAGCCTTGGAGGCTTTCCCTGCCTGCCCAGCTCCACCTCCTTTTCTCCCTGCTGCTTGCTCTCCCTCCTCCCCCTCATCTCCAGGCTTCTCAAACCCTCAAGGCTTCTGCTTCCAGTATTTTGATTTCTTTTTCTTTCTCTTACCAGTTTCTCGCTCTCTGAGGCATTGAAGCAGCCCCTCCACTTCTTTCTTAAGAACAAGGGTTGCTTTTTCATTTTCCCTATTTCTCCCTCACCATCAAGAGCCAGGTATATCCTTTGCTCATCAAGATTTTCTGTTTTTTCTTCTGTCTTCTCCTTCAGGATTATCTTTGATGGAGGTGCTATCCTGCTCTCCTTTTATACCTGCTTATTTAAATCCTTTTCCCCGGTTGTAACTATATCACTCAACAGCTGTGAGTGAGCAGCAAGACCCACATATTTTCCTTGCTTTCTTCTCCTGCAAGGCCTCCTGATACCTCAAAACTGAATCCATATTTTTCCTCCTTTCCCCTTTCTCCATGGCTATTGAAACTCCAGTGAAATCTCTGCTACTGCAGCTCTTAACCTGGAGATTACTTTATTTCTGACACCTTCACCACCCTCTCTCTGCTCAAACAAAAGCCATCCCATGATTGCACTAGATTTTTTGTAAATTCCTGGTAATTATCCTGTTTATTCATCCTTGCTGCTCAGGCAGTTTCCTTCTCCTTCAGAATAATTATACATGCTCCTCCCCAAATGCTCATTTCTTGTCTTTGACCACAGCTCTTCCCATTCAAAATCCTGCCCTGGATTTGCCTTCCATGTCATGATCCTAGCTCTTGCCCTCATCTACAGAGCAGTCCCCATTACTCTGTATGCTACAGCCACTGTGCTTGCCAAAGTGCTCAGCCCTGGCACAGAGCTGTGCTCGGGGATCCAAGCATCCCTTTTGCGTATTACAGTACATTTGCAGACAGTCTAGCATAAACACAGGGAAAACTGTGTTTATATTTGCAGAAAGGAATGTGTAGTTAAATTTCTCTTTTACCATACCACCTTCTCTTCCATATGTAAATTCAGATAAATGGAGTTTATGGGTTCCTTAATTAACACCAAGGTTGAATTTTTGCAGCTTTCCCTTCGGGAATTTTACTGAGAGATAAATCTTCAGGTATCAGAAAAGGAGCGTTAGTTTATATGTCACATCCTTTTATAAACATGGGCTTCACAGGGCTTCCTCCAACAAGGCAGGAGACAATGCACAGGCTCTGTAACACTGGCAGCTTTAAAAGAGAGTGCTGTTGTTGTTGACCTTGGGTACCGGAGTCAAACGTGCTGCAGAAGAGGCAGCACATGGGCAGTGGTATCTGCACCACTTCAGGAAGTGCTCCTTCTCAAGCTGTGGAGATACTCCAGCCTCATTCTGTATCCTTGGGGACCATGGGTCAGGGTGCAAAGGAACACAGACACAGCACCTGGACCCGCCACGAAGAACAAGCTGGCACAGTCCATTGCCACGGCTCACCCAGGACTTGGGGGAAAGATGGGGACTAGACCTGCTTAGCTGCCATACCGTCTTGCAAAGAGAAGACAGGACAAATTGTGAATGAAACATAGAAATTAATTTCTAACCTGGAAATACCAAAGCAGAGAGACTTCTTCTTATCTTCCAATGACAGCAGATGCACCCAGATATGATGACACTTCAACAAACCAGCTGCCACCTCTGAGAGCCTCAGAAATGCTAGTAGTAATTACAAATGTATCTGAACTGTATCTTTGCAATTTATAGCTGCAGTCTTTTTGAAATGTGGAACGAGCAACAATAAATGCAGATTTCCCTGCAGGGGAAAGGTCTGTTCATCAAGGGATGACTACTACATTCGATGTTTCAGATTCCTCTTTTTAAAATGCCCAGTTGGGAAATATGACCAGATTGCTTCATAAAACCAAAATAGTTCATCCACTTCAGACAGAATTAATCTAAACACGTACTTGAGTGTGAGAATAAAATCTAATTTGGAACAAATATATCTCTCTAACCTTTAGAGTAATTATAAAGAATGAAAATAGATTGTAATTAATTTTAATAGTTTAGCCTGCAAAATTGGTATCATTACATATTAAAATGTAAAAATATGCATTTTGAAAGCTTATGTATAAGTTTACAAAAAATACCCATTAACCTCTTGACACTGATTGTCCCCTCTCCATTTCAGTTGCTTGATTACTCTCTGTGACTTGCTTGCACCTACTTAACCAAGGTGTTAGTGCTTTTATTTAGTCTCTGGAACAACAGAGCAGTGCTCCTCCAGGGACCTCTTACAAGACTGAGGTCCTGATACCTCTCATAATTCTCCATTTCCCAGCCTCTCTTCATGCTATATTACTACCACTACAGCATTGAAAAGCAAGCCTGCTAACATCCTGTGTGAAGGAAATGCACTGCTGATCAACACATCAAAAAAGACGAGAGGAACACAGGTACTTCAGGCAGCCTCTGGGGTTTAAGTTACCTTTTATTGCTGGCACTAATAGAAAAATAAAATAAAGAAAGAATAGGCAAAAATAATCAACAAATCGATCAAATCTAACCCAGAGTGAGATGCAAACCAAATCTTAGATTTTGTGTATTTAAATTAGGAGGAGGGACCCCACTTCTCTGCAATAGATGCAGCATTTTAAAGGATCACTGGAACATCTGCCTCATAGCGCAGCAGGCACTAGAGCCTACAAAACATCTCTGATGCCCAATAGTCAACATACACCCTGGAGCTGAAAACCAAAAGCCACAGCCCTAATGAGCCAGAGGAAGTGAACACAAAGACAAAAGGCATCACCAGCATCCCAGGCCCCTGCAATGCCGAACAATACTGCTTTTGTTACCAGTCACTGGTTCAACCCTGCTTCCACTGGATTCAGAAGGATTTTCATCACCGATTTCAGTAGGAGAACAGAGTTCTGTGCAAAGTAGAACCAAAATCATCCTCCTTCTTACACTGGAACCATGGCTGTGTTGTGGTTAAGATAACAATCAGAAAATGAAGACGATGAAATCCTTGTGAAAACATGCTCCAGTCTAGCTCTCTAGAAGCAGACAATTTTCTTAAGGCAGAGAAGCATAAAGTATGCCATGCAAAAAACACCAACCCCCAGATCTTGAAAATCTTTAGCTTGATCTAACCATAAGACTTCAAAACAAATAAACATTAGAATTGTCTTATTTTTCAAGAGGTTGGAATTCACAAGCTCCGTGGCTGTAAGGGTTATGCATGTACTTTCTCTCCTCCCTCTTTTAATGGAAGTTTAGTCTCACATAATAACAGAACTCTTGGCAATACAATGTGAAAGAGCATTCTGAGGTGCAAGATGCTATTATGAGACACAGCAACATGATGACCACCCACACAGACCTGCTTACTCAAGGTGCTCTGTGGTTCATGGGAAAGGCTGAACATGATGATTTTCTTGAGCAACCGGAGTTCCTTGTGAGACTGCAAGGAAGGTCTTCTCTACACCAGTCTCACCACATTTTGAAGTTTGTCAGTATATCACAATTTGACTTTTACGTTTCTGTGTTGAAATAAAACAAAACAAAGCAACATTTTTTTACCAAAAGGAATATGAATTTCTCCTGGAATGAAACGCAGTCCCTGCTTCCAAGAATTGCACTCTTTTCCTGAAAGGGGAAAAGATCACTAGGGACTTGCTCCAAGGAGTCTTATCCTTTGTACATCCAATGAAAGGAGTCCAGATCTAAAAATACTTCATATTAGAGCCTAATTTGTGAGGGGTATTTGTTGCCAAGAATTCTCAGACTCTGTGCATCCACTTTATTGTTCTTGGCACAAAGGGCACTTCCATTCTGTTGCTATTGTTATTTGAGCAGTCTGAAACAAGACATAAAGTAATACTAAGTCTATCTGTATGTTAATTCTCTCCAGCAATGCTGTTGCCATAGCAAGGTTACACATGGATTTCAATGGGCACACACAGATTGAAATTTATCGGCTTTTGAAGTCAGTTCAGCATGTTTACACATCCTGTGTCTGTCTTCCAGATTCCTTGCAAACTTTGGGAATTTCACAAGCTCATTTTCTGGGTGTAAGAATGCTTCTCTGATTCTGTAAGAAAATAAGAGATTAATTCACTACTTGTTCTCTAAAGGAGAAGAGTGAAAATGACAATGCACGGCATCTTGTCAAATGTGTAAAAAATCCAAAACTTGACCATTATTTTACTCATCTGTGGTATTGATTTCTTAATAAAGTAAGTTATTTTCAGAGCATAGATGCACCATGACTTGTAATGGAATGATATTTGATTAAGGAGGTGCTACAGTCACCACATATCAGATCTGCCTTTACATACATATATATACACACATATACATATATATCTACTGCTATTTATTATCAGCTATTTGAGTCAAAACATTTCACACATAACAAGGGTTCTACAATATGTTCTGTTTATGTGCTGATACGTGAAATATATACTGAAGAGGGCTTAGGCTTTGAGTGTATGAAAAATTGCTACCTTTTCAATTTTAAAAATGTTTAGTGTGGGCTTTTATCCAGTTTTCGATGCTTTAAAATAAAAATATCAAAATAGCAAATGGAAGAAGACACATGGTTAGATTGAAGATAAAAATAAATCATCTTAAATCTTGACAAGTTCCTAAAATACTCTTAGGCAATGTGGACTATTAGTGTTTCAACTATTGCGAAAGACTGCGAAAAGCTTCATGAACAAATATTTACTAAAAGGTATTGGGGTGTGTATTCTCTAGTTGACAACACCAAGAAACTCATTCTTGTTCAGCCTCATGTCCTAGCCTTCCGCTACACAGTGATTCATTTCCTCTAAAGTTAAGGAAACAGAAGAGTTCTCCCAACCAACAAAACCAAACATAAATTATGAAGATAATTAATATTTCTCTGGGACTTTGAGTCTGCAGAGAAAGAGCACTGTGGATTAAAGGTGAGTGGGAGAGCAACGACTGGCCCCTTCTCTTGAAGGATTTATGGAGGATATAAACATGGACACACCATTAATTAAACAAGGTGAGTTTTCAC